AGTTGCCCAGGCTGGCCTCAAACTTTCAATCCTCCTGCCTCAGCCTCCCGGATTGCTGGGGTTACAGGAGTGCGATACTGGGCCTAGCTTTGACTATCTTTTGTTAAACTTGTTTCTAAATATTTCTTGTGTTTTTTTCCCTACTATAATTTGAATGTTTTGTATTTATTTTATTTTTCCAGTTGTGTATTGGTAATTTAACAATTTTACAACTAATTTTTTTCTATATTAAAAACATTCAACTATAATTTTACCAGATTCATTCATTGATTCTAAAGGTTGTTTCATGATCCCCCTGGGAGATATATATTATATGGTGGACACAATGCCTTTATTTTGTTTATTTATTTTTATGTGGTGCTGAGGATCGAATCCAGGGCCTCACGCATGCGAGGCGAGTGCTCCACACTGAGCCCCAGCCCAGCCCTCCCCTGGGATTTTTTTTAACTTAAAACAGTCATATCTGAAAAGAGAGAGCTGACCTCCTCTTCCAATCCCTGTGACTCTCCTTCCTTTTCCTGTCCTGCCCGCAGCACCAACGAGAGGCGGTGACAGCAGGCATGGTTAGCTCATCCCTGGTCGGGGAGCAACTCAGGCCTCCACCACCAAGGGTGACGTTAGCAGCGGAGTCTGTGGGTGTCCTTTATTAAGTTGGGGAGGGTCTCTGTGACTCCTGGCTTTTATCATGATTGAGCATTGGGTCTTTATCTGTTGCTTTTTCTGTGTCGATTCATGTATTTTTTGTGGGCATCTTTCACTCTTTTCTTTGGATTTACTCCTAGAAATTAAAGGGTCAACACAATGCAATCCACTATTCTGTATAATTAAAATGCAGTGGTTTTTTTTTTTTTTTTTAAGGAAGTCAAGTGGTAAAATGCATGAATGAATGGTCTGATTGCACAGTGGTGTGACTCCACCTCATGTACAGCCAGAGAAATGAAAAGTTGTGCTCCATTTGTGTAAAATAAATAAATAAAATGCATGAATGTTTTTAAGCCTTTTGCATCCGATTTCCAAATTGCCGTTCCGAGGACCGGGCCAGTTTGCCGTTGTGGAAGGCTGACCCCCCAGTCCTCGCTGCACAGAGTCTGTGGTCTCAGAGCGGCTGCTGACCTCAAAGCCTCCCTGGTGGTGTCGTGTCCCACTGCGATGGGTCCCCCCTTGCCACAGACGTGGGCACTTTACTGTCTGCGCTCTGGGAAGCTCTTCTCCTCTCCTTGGCCGCCTCTCCTCTGCTGCTTTCTGATGACGGCTCTTGTGTTCACGGCTCATCTTGGTCACACCCCGCGTGTGTTCTGAGGTCCTGTGGCCTTCGACTCTCCCCGTGGCTGTGTTTAGTGGTGGACTGTCTTGTAGAGCAGTGTCAGGTTCACGGCAAAGTTGGCTGGACAGTGGAGACCCGCTTGGGCCCCGGGCCCACGCACGCTCAGTCTACCTGGCATAATGCCCCACCAGAGTGGCACTTTTGGTACAGTGAGTTGTGCTGGCCCGTCATCGTCACCCCGAGTCCAGGTTCACACTGGAGGGTCATGTACCCGCGGGGGGTGGTGGCACAGGCAGACCACCTTATCGCCCTGAATCCCATGTCACGCCCTGCACGCCTTCCCCTGAGCCCTGCCACCCAGGTTGGACTTGGTGGCAGGAATCCAAGCGTGTCCCGTGTTCTCGTGGCTCGACAGCTTACTTCTTTGGGCGGTGACTCTTGTCTGGACACAGTGTCCCTTATTTATATTTGTATGAGTTCACGTTTCAAAGGACATCTTGGATGCTTCTAGGTTTTGACACTTATGAGGGGCCACCAAAGGGTGGCATCATTCCCAGGCTCCGTGTCCCACCCTTCTCTCCATCACATCTAATGCTCCTCCAGGGCCCGCACGCCCCTCCCAGCACCCTGTGTCCTGCTCACCCGCAGGCCAGGCCAGGGTTCCCTTGAGCCAGATGGAGGACAGCCAGGCTAGTCCTGGCGGCCGGCCCTGCTGGTCCCCCAGGGAGAGCACGATTCCCAACCAGAAGAGAGCCCCAGAGGGGCCACCCCACCTCCCCGCAGCTGCCTCAGGCAGAAGTCTGCCTAAACCCGTCACAACTCCTGAGGGGGAGACTGTTTGCATCAATTAATGGACCGATTCCTTAAGTCAAGACACTGTGCTTGGGACCTACAGCTGGGGGCCAGGGGCTTCTCTTTCAGTCAACTCCAAGCCTCGGGATGGAAGGAAAGCCAGAGCACGCGTAGAGGTTTGGATATTTAAATCATGTTAACACCCGTCCCTGGCGCCTCTGACCTCGAGAGCCACCGCTGTAGGTCTGGAGGCTTTTTCTGGAAACAGACACTTCCTGTATGTGTCAGTCACCTATTGCTGCATAACAAATGTCCCCAATCACCCTGGCTTTGCCCACAGCTCTTCGGGGTGGGCCAGCCTCAGACTGGCCATGTGCTGGGCTCCTAGGGGGTGGCCCCAGGAGCTGCGGCTATCGGGGCTCTGCTGGCGGGGGCCTGCCTGTCAGTGAGTGGGTTCTGCTCCTGGGCTCTCGCTTTGTGCCTGGCTGGGTGAGGGGGCCCTGCAGTAGCTGCCAGGCCTTTCCAAGCCTGGGCTCTGGGACCTACATAGCAACCCTTCTGCCACGTTCTCTCTCAAGGAGCAGGACCTGACCGGATCCAGGGGTGACAGGTGCCACTCTTGGTAGCCAGCTGCAGACGCGAGCCTATGTGCACTGCATGGTCCTACTGTGAGCAAGATCCCCGGCCCTTCACCCCGGGAGGTGCTCCAGGGCCTCCCCTCTGTGGTGGAGGTGCTCAGTCTGCACTCACTGCTCCTCTTCTCCCTCTGCCCTTCAGAGCAGCCTGGGAGGAATTGCTGAATAAACCATCCTTTTAATTTTAATGCATCACACATAATAATTTTATGAACAAGCCAAATGATATGCAGCACATATGAATATTCCTAAAACCAAATTGCTTCACATATGTAGAAAGATCATAAAAAACTGAACATATTTCCATCCCAGGTTTTATTTCCTTTAAAGCTTTTTTTCCCAATGACTTCTGAGTTCCCAGACATTTTCTGTTTTCACTCAGGTCTGAGTATTAAATGACATAGGTTCTGTGTCGAGCCTCTGCTGGGAGCTGGGGTGGCCGCCCCCAGCCCGTGCAGCCCACGGGGGGGGGGGGGGGGGACGGACAGGCTGCTCGTGGATGCTGAGCAAGGTGGCATCTGCCAACACAGGTCCCAGGTCCCAGGGAACTAAGGCTTCTGTCAACTTTGCTCCAGTTGAGCCCCTGGCCCCCAGCTGTAGGTCCCAAGCACAGTGTCTTGACTTAAGGAATCGGTCCATTAATTGATGCAAACAGTCTCCCCCTCAGGAGTTGTGACGGGTTTAGGCAGACTTCTGCCTGAGGCAGCTGCGGGGAGGTGGGGTGGCCCCTCTGGGGCTCTCTTCTGGTTGGGAATCGTGCTCTCCCTGGGGGACCAGCAGGGCTGGGCAGCAGGACAGTGCGCAGAGAGGAGAGGGGCGTGCAGACCTGGGGGGGTCGGATGGTGTGTTTGGGTGGTGGTGAGAGGGTGGGGGCTGGGGCCGCTGGACGCTCTCTGAGCACCAGCTCTGGCCACCAGCCGCCTTGTTCCCTAAGCAGCTTAGGAAGGCCGCATGCGGGGCCTGGTGGGGGGCCGGCTCTGTCCTCCGACCCGCCTTGTTCTGAGCACAATGACTTCACATTGCGACCCGCGTCAGGGTCCACTGGGGAGGACAGGCCAATGCCTCAGCCCTTGGGGCCTCGTGGCCTGTGCCCGAGGTGGTTCAGGCTGCTGCCGACCCGCCATCTGCAATGGGCTGTACCTGCGCCTGTGACCTCCAGGCCCAGGAGGAAGCCCCCGCGCCCGAGGTAGAGGACGCTCCCTCACTGCTGCCCACAGGGAAGGGACAGCGCCTGGTGCTGTTCTGGAGGCAGCCAAGGGCCCAAAGGCCCCTCTCCGAGGGAGGCTGGAGAGGAGGGCGTGGACCAGGCGCCTCAGTCCCACTGTGTCCTGGGCTCCAGCAGGACAGCAGGCCCGGGCTGCTGCCCTACCAGTGTGGGGCAGAGCCTGGGACCCAGACCCGCTCTCCCTTGGCTCAGGTCGCATTGGAGCAGGCATTGGCTGGTGATGCTGAGGTCTCAGGAGGCAGGATGTGACCGTGGTATGGCTGAATTCACGTGATAACCACTGGCAAGGGTACCTAGAACAGAGGCGCTGGGCTGCTGGGCCGCAGACTTAGCAGCTGTGAAATGGGCCCTGAGAACTGAGCCATGAAGCTGATCTCAGCCCCACCACTCGCTGGCTGTGCAGCTTTGGGCGAGTTGCTGACCTCTCTGGGCCTTAGTTTCCTCTTCTGTACCATGGGGTGATAGCATTGCTCAGTTTCATAGGCTGATGGTGAGAATTGTAGGCAATAAAAGCACATGAGAAGGGGTTAGCCCAGGCCCAGGCCATACAGGAGTTTAATAATGCTTGCTGTATTAGTGGTGTTAATAACAGAAGTGATTTCTTGCCAATCTGTGCTTATTCAGAAATATAGCCACTTGAAACCCATGTGGAAGCCCCACTCTGCCTAAAAATGTTGCCAAACAGCTACTCTTCTTAAGTGCGAGGACGAGGCCCGTGCTGAGCACTTTACAGTTGCTTATTCCACACAGAGCCTGGTAACTGTCCTCACTTTGCAAGTGTGGAAGCCAAGGCTCAGAGAAGCCTGGTAACGTGCATGAGGTCACACAGCAAGGATCCTAACTCCAGTCATGGTGGCCTTGTCTGTCATTGTAACCACTGTTGAAGTGGAGCAGGGTCTGATCATGAAGACCTTTTCCCACCCTGATTAAAGCGCAGGTGTGCGTGACCAGAGCAGGACTCACTAGCTCTGACAGCTGTCTGCCCCAGCAGGGCAGGCTGGGTTGTGTCTGTGTCGAGGCCCAGAGCACATGGTGGTCTCCCCACACCCCTGCGCCCTGGCCCTCACGTGGCCTGCTCTGCCAGCTCCCCCTCCAGCTCGGACACCACCCTGCGCTTCCTGGACAGCAATGGCCTCCTACAGACCTCGCGCTGGGACGAGGCTCAGCGGGGCTGTGCCCCGGAGCAGATCTGCGGCGTGTTCCGCGTGGACCTGGGCCACATGCGCTCCCTGCGGCTTTTCTTCAGGTGAGGACCCGTTGGACGCCTCCTGGGGGCTGGGCTGTCCCAGCCCTTCTGGCCCTGGCTAACTCTGCCCTTGGGGAGGGGGAAGGTAGCCGTCACTCAGACTCTGGCCTAGAGAAGAGACCAAGCAAAGGCGCTGTGCAGAGTGGCCGTCACTGTCCTCTCCACCTGGCTCTGCCTCAAGGGCAGCGTGGGGGATGCAGCCTTCTTGACAGAGCTGCCCTTTCCTTCTGGTGGGTCCGAGGGTCCCTGGCCGCCTGCCTGCAGCCCCTACGGCTGCCACACAGCACCAATGAGAGGCTGTGCAGAGAGCAGCACGCTTGTCCCCGAGGGCCCCGCAACCAGAGCGTGCCCCAGCCTTTATCTGAGGGTGGCCAGGTGAGCTGGGACACTGATGGGTGTGGCCAGTGTCTGGGGTTCCCCCAGAGGAAGCCTCTCAGTGTCCCCCAGCAGGCTCCACAGGTGTCCACCCCCAGGCCCCTGGACAGACGGGACCATGTGGCCAGGCAGGACACCCTTCGAGCAGGCTGCCCAGGAGGGGCTGTTCTGCCTTGGGGGGGGGCCCAGGTTCCTGGGTTTGCTGGGTGTGGCTGATGCCCTCCACCTGCCGCAGGACTCCAGCGACTGCCTGATTATACTCGGAAATGAAAACCAGCGTTTGCATATTCATCGGGCTTTCTATCCCCGCCCCATGTCCCTTCAGTGACGAGGCCTGCACCAGTGGCCAGCTGGTCGTGGCCAGCCGAGAGAGCCAGTACAAGGTGCTGCACTTCCACCACGGTGGCCTGGACAAGCTGTGCGAGGTGTTCCAGCAGTGGAAGTTCTGCACCGAGTCCCACCTCGAGGACCAGGTAGCCGGCCAGCCTGCCCCACAGGCCCCACACGCTAGGGGCCGCCACTGGACCCTCCCTGCCCTCCCGAGGGCCCAGACCTTCCCCAGTGCACCCTGCTGCCGGGCCCTCGGACTCCCAGGGTGTGGCCCCTGGTGGCCTGGGGCCGTCTGTGGTGGCTGGCTGGTGACAGCACTGCACTTGGGGGCTTTTTGAAAGTCAGCGCTCTGCACTTGAGACATCATGTTTTGACAAGACGCCTGCCATATTTTGCTCCATCTACATAGGACTGTAATGAGAGCCCTTTAATTATCTGTTTAAGGTACCGCATGTGCTTATTAGAAACGGGGCTGACTCTAGAGCCTCCTTCCCACAGAGCCTCCCGCTGGCTGCGAGGCCTGCGCTGGGCGGTTTCCCCCGCATTGATTTCTGAATTAAATGTCAGCTGCAGTTTCGCCTGGATTCCGGGCTGCGCTGAGACGGTCCGACAGGCCGGCCCCGCGCGGAACAGCGCGGCCTTTGTATGTGGCCAATCACATGTGATTTATCGCGGCCTCCGCGGAGGGGAGCGAGGCGGCCGCGCATTCATTCCGCTCTCGGCGGTGGGGTCGCAGGGAGCCGGGGGCAGCACAGGGACCGGGTGCAGGGCGAAGGTATTTCCATTTTAATCGCGTCTAATTACACTTGCCATTTAGGGGCCTGTGTGCCGGGCAGCGCTCCCCCTCGCCCAGAACAGAGAGCCTTTTAAATCCTGGGAACCGCCTCGCTGGCCTCCAAAGCCGCCTGGAGACCCTTATCTTTGCCCAGTTTCCCTCCCGTCCAGCAGGTCGCCAGCGAGAGGACGTGCGTGCAGTTCTCCATCCGGCGGCCCAAGCTGCCGTCCTGCGAGGCGCACCCCGAGGAGAGCCTGTACCGCCGGCTGGACGTGCCCGCCTGGCTGCAGCACCTGAACGAGCTGGGCCAGGTGGAGGAGATGTACAAGCTGCGCCAGGTGAGGGCGGCGCGGGGAGGGCAGCGCCAGGTGAGCGCGGCGGCGCCGGAGGGCGGGCGGGCGGGCGCGCGCGCGCGCCTCCGGGTCCGCCCCGAGCGAGGTTCGCGGCCAGTGCGCGGCCAAGCGATCAAAGCCGAGGCGCAGGAACAATCCGAGCGGCCGGGATCCGTGTCAGCCTGCACAGAGGGCCGCGCGCTGAAAGGCGGCCTTTCCAAACCCGGGGATTAGGCCGCGACGTGAGAACCGCACGTCAATCGGAGCGCACCCCGGGGGGGCATTGACATTGAAATGAGCGGGTTTGTGTCCTGTATGGGAACGCAGGGCCCGCGCTGTCCCCTGGTGAACATGTGCAAATTGCCGGGGAGCCACCAGAACACCCTTCCCTGGGGATTTGGGGTTCTTTGAGCTGCCCTCTTGCACGCCCCCCCCCCCAACTTTGGCCGTTTCCTCCAGGCCATTTTCTTCGGCGGCATTGATGTGTCAATCCGCGGGGAGGTCTGGCCCTTCCTGCTGCGCTATTACAGCCACGAGTCCACGTCGGAGGAGCGGGAGGCGCTGCGGGTGCAGAAGAGGAAGGAATACCTGGAAATCCAGCAGAAGAGGTGACTGCCGCCCGGCCCATGTCCTTTGGAGGCAGTTGAGGTGCCATTAGGCAGGCACAGTGTGCCTCCTTTCAAACATGGGTCTCCCAAGCTGAGGACCTGGTGGGAAGTGCAGACGTGAGCTCTCAGGTCAAGATGTCCCAGCTCTCCTTCAACAGTCTGAATGGGTGCTGGTGACCCCAGCTGCTGGCTGGTTGGAGCAGCGCCTGCAGGGAACAAAGCCAGAGCTTGGGCTCTGTTGCCCCTGGGACTGCTGTCAGCTCCCCTGTGGGGCTGGGCCTGGGCGAAGCCCTGTTCCCTGTGGGTTGTGCTCAGCTCCCTCTGGGGGCTAGAACCCACCAAGGGGAAAGCTTTGGACGTGCCACCACCCATGACTGCCGGAGCTACAGGGTTTACTGCCCAAAGCAACCCAGCCCTCCCTGCAGCAGGATGGAGGGGAAGCCTGACTGGGGCACATGGGCTGCTGGACCCCATCTACTACTCACCCCTGCCCCAGGCTCTCCATGACTCCTGAGGAGCGGGGAGCATTCTGGCGTAACGTGCAGTTCACCGTGGACAAAGACGTGGTTCGGACAGATCGGAGCAACGAGTTCTTCCGTGGGGAAGACAATCCGAACGTGGAGAGCATGAGGTACCTGGCTCCTGGGCAGGCCAAGGCCCCGTCCAGCCCTCCCTTATCTGCAAATGGTGGCCCCCCCTGTTCTCTGAGCCTCAGCTGATCTCTGAACAGGGGACACGACCAGAGGAGGCTTTCTGTAGGGTTCATGAAGTCAAGGTCCCAAGCAAAAGATTCATGGGCTGCTTCAGCAGAAAACCCACAGCCACAGCATCCCAAGGAAGCCCAGGATCCACTCAGGGTGCCAGCAGAGCCTCCAATCCCTGGGCACCCCCAAACCTGCTCATGCCTGGCTCCCACCCGCCCACCACAGACAGGCTTTTCCCCACGTCCCCTCCACCTCCTGATGGGTGGTCCTCCTGTGATAAAGCTACACAGAGCCAGAGGCTGGCATCTTGGACATTCTGCTGCAGCCTGGCAAATAATTGCACACAATTAACAGCCCATAAAAACGTGTCTGCCAGCCCACCTTTGGTCACAGGCACTCAAGCATTAGGGAAATCAGACCCACATTCTTCCTCACCCCCTGCTCTGGGCTCTGGGCCTGGTGAGCAGCTCACTCAGGCCATTACGTCTTGCAAAGCGAGGACCGTTTGGTCGTGGTCCAAGGCTCAGCCCTTGAGGTTGCCGCAGAGCTGCCAGGGCCTGCACCAGACACTGCCTCCCGAGGTCAAGGTGAAGGGGAGGCCTGCGCAGCAGGGTCTCCAGCCTGGGCAGCAGGAAACAGTAAGGGTGGGGGCAGCATGGGTCATGCCCACCCTGCCCTCTGCTGCCTCGCCAGGAGGATCCTGCTGAACTACGCTGTGTACAACCCGGCCATTGGCTACTCCCAGGGCATGTCGGACCTGGTGGCACCCCTCCTGACCGAGGTCCAGGACGAGTCAGACACCTTCTGGTGCTTCGTGGGTTTGATGCAGAATACAATCTTCGTCAGCTCTCCTCGGGACGAGGACATGGAGAAACAGCTGGTGAGGCTCGGGGCTCTACGTGTGCGTGTGTGAGCCTGCACCGGGCGCGCTGGAGAGCACACTGCCACCTCCTCTTGCTGCCAGGGGTCTCGGCAGTGATGTGTGGCTTTGCTGTTACGGGTCGGTGGGCAGCAGAAAGCCAGATGGTGCTGCTGCTAGGACATGGGCAACTTGGCCCTGGGCCTCCAAAGAGGGCCACGGCCTCCAGGAGAGATGCTGCTCCCAGGGCTGCAGGTCCAGGGCGGGCTGTGGGGAGTGTCCCCTTCCTGCATGTGACAACACAGCCCGGCGGGCAGGGCAGGGGAGGGAGGCCCTGTGCTGCACGGACAGGCTCCCGGCTGCTACCACATAGCCCTGGCTCCTGGGTGCGCTGGGGACAGGAGGGCTCCTTGTGCCACCCTGAGAACCAGCAGCAGTTCTCACCCCAGGACAGCAGGCCTTTCCTGGGGCCCAGCTGGCACGTCCCCCAACCCCAAGGCCTCCTGAAAAGGACTGGCCTGGTATAGACCAGAAGCACTGAGTGGTGGGGAGTGGGGGAGTCAAGCTGGGTCAGACAGGGTCCGGCGGGTGGGTGTGCAGCCCAGGGCAAGTTAGGGCTCCCAACTGCCATTCTCACTGCCCATCACCAGTGTGGACCAGGAACCTGCTGGCTGCCCTCTCGTGCTCAGTCCAGGAGGGAGCTCCGCCTGGAAGCCCACAGATGGAGCAGACAGTACTGGGCTCCAGGGATGGGATGTGGGGACACAGAAAAGACCTGTGATAGGGAGGAAGGCAGGTGTCCCAGGTCCCCTGGGCTGGGTCATCTCCACCCACAGGAGTCTGGCCCTCAGTGTCCGGAGGCTCAGCTGGACAGTTGTGCTGAGTGGTCGGGTCTCACTGGACATGATGTGCTCCTGAAGCCCAGAGCTGAAGTGGGCCAAGGAGCACGTCCTACAGGTCAGCCGTGCAGGGGCCTCTGAGGTGCGATGGGATTGAGGAGCGCAGCCAGGAGGGTGTGAGGCCGGGGCAGCTGGGGTGTCACGTATACATGGCCTTGACCCTGCTGTGGGCCACTGAGTGGAGATGGACTCGGCTCCTACACTCCACAGCCCCAGCTGCCCTCTCCAGCAGAACAATGGGCCACTTGTGTGGGGAGGGCATGTGCGGGCCACCAAGATCCCCTCGAGAGTGCAGCTGACCCCTGCCAGGCCTGCTGGGTCTGCACAGTCCTGCACCCCTGTGATGTCAGGCCTCCGCGGAGCCTGGGAGGCAGTCACGGGGTCTGACGCCACTCTCCCTGATGGCTCAGGGCAGCACAGGGCCAGGGGACCCATTAGCTCCTGGAGATTGATTTTCCCGTGGCGTCAGTGAAGTCGGCCGAGTCCTGGGTCAGAGAAACAGCCTTGACCTGGTCCCATGTCACGGGGTGATCTTAAGCGTGGCTGGGGCTAGATGGTTCCCCCAGAGACAGCTCCCAGGCCCACAGGGTGCCATGCCATTCCTTGTCTGGGGCCACGCCAGGGCCTCCGTCCAGGGCAGTCTGAAGTCTGGGAGAAGCTGACGAAGACGGGCGCGAACACAATTCCAGTGCCGGAAAGAACTAAGCAGACCGCAGACACGGGTGTCCTGCAGAGACTGAGGTTGGGGTGGCTGAGGAGGGGCTTCGGGGCAGGGTGGGGCGGGCTCATGCTCCTGCCTCGCCCCCAGCTGTACCTGCGGGAGCTGCTGCGGCTGACCCACCCGCGCTTCTACCAGCACCTGGCCGCGCTGGGCGAGGACGGACTGCAGATGCTCTTCTGCCACCGCTGGCTCCTGCTCTGCTTCAAGCGGGAGTTCCCCGAGGCCGAGGCCTTGCGCATCTGGGAGGCCTGCTGGGCCCACTACCAGGTGAGTGGCCACCCACGCCTGGCAGGGTGGGGGCTCCTCCGCCTCGCCCCACGCCCCACTGCTCCCTAGTCCTGGGCCTGGCTGCAGGCCCCTACCAGGAACTGAAACCCACGCAGCCCAGGATGCTGGTGCCCACATGCTGGGACAGCACTGTCCCACCCCGCCCCCTGGGACTGCTCAGCCACAGGTTCAGGCCCAGGGAAAGGGGGGGCTCTGCTTCCCCAGCAACCCCCCGAGAGCCCTGATGGTATGTCCCAGCCTCCACTTGCTGTCCCCATCACCAGCATCTCCTCCACCAACTGTCCTCTGAGTACAGGGTGGAGTCTGTCACGTGGCTTTAGCGCCTGAGTTAGGGACAGATGGGTGATGCGAGAGGATGGGAGAGTCTCTGCATTCACCAGCCTTTACAGAAGTACTGGGATGCATTCAGGAGAGCGACGGCCCTCTGCTGAGGCGCAAGCTCTGATGTCCAGGGCAGCTAGCAGAGAGAGGTGGATACCACCTACCCCCAGACGTGGCAATAGCAGTTCCCATCCTGAGTGGCATCACGGGTGGGGGGGTCACACGGGAGTCTGAAGACACCTAGGTTGGGCCACCAGCTGTCTATACCTTCCTCATGGCCCACCCCCGGTCTGCGTGCCTGGCCCACATGGGTGGACGAGCGGACGCAGAGCTCAGGACGGAGCACCTGCACTAGTAAGGGGAAGCGCACCGTGGACGGCCTGCAAACCCCACCCTGCCCTTTACCTTGTGTTACAAGTGACCTCAGCATCACTCACTGAAGAGGGCCGATTCTTACCACTGTACTGTGTCCCAGGTCTGATGAGATCAGTGGCGATGACAGGGACCTGGCCTGTTTGCACACCCCAGCCGACTGCCAATTTGTTTAAAGCCCACAAAGCAAGTCCACAGGGCTTTCAGACTTGGGGTAAATGTAGCCACTTTTGGAACAATCCCTGGTTAGCTGGGCAGGAGGGGTGGAGGAGGCTAATTAGCCAGGAGTGAGCTCTGGCAGGGGTCACTGCCGGACAATGCCTTTAATTCCTGAGTGTCCCCCTGGGGGACAGTCTCACCCATTTCCCTGCAGTGTGCGGTGGGCTGGCCTGCCCCACACCTTGTCCCAAGAGCTGAGACCCTCTGTGCCGCCGTCCAGCCCATGTGGACCAGGCTCCACCTTCCACTCCCCACATTCCTCCAGCAAAGCTGGGTGTCCACTTCCTGGGACTCTCACCCCAGCCAAAGTCAGAGTGGCTGCCAGAGGGCCAGCCCGAACCAAAACAAGACCACTGCAGGGAGCTCTGAGGAAGAGGCCGGGCGGCCCAGGGCGCGGTGTCTCCCAGAGCAGGCCCGGGTGAGGTTTGCTGCTGTGGCCTGTGCCCACGCGCAGCACTCCAGCAGCCCAGTTGGGGATGGTTCTGTGGGGAACTGTGACCAGCGTCAGGGGACTCGCATGCACTTTCTGCTGCTCCCGTCCGTCCTGTGTCTCAATGAGCCACTGTGTCAAAGGTGGGGTTCCTTGAGGTGCCCAGGCAGGAGCACTCACAGGATGGTCCCAGCCAGGACAGGTTGCCTTAAAGGAGGGCAGTGGGGCCCTCTGTGGGCCTCCAAGAGGAGGGCTGGGACATCGAGATCGGGTCAGTGTTCCAAGAGGTCCCAGGGATTGCTCTCCTGGGACCTGCTTCTCAGACTGCAGTGGAGCGCAGTCTCTGGGGCGCGCCTTGGGACGCCCGCAGCAGGGCAGACCAGCCCGTTGGTTGGCTTGCACCTGGGGAGGACCCTGACCCAGCCTGTGCACAGCCCCTCTCAGGACGTTTGTGGATAGGACGTCACAGTGAGCTCTGGGGTCCAGGCTTTGGAAGAAGGGTTCTTTGCCCCATCACGGATGTCACACAGAAAGCCCACCCAGAGACTGACAGTCATGGCTGCCCGGCACAAGCGTCGCTGCTCTGGGTCCTACAGCAGCCCAGGAGTGTGGCAGCCGACAGACCTGACTTGCATGTGGGGAAACTGAGGATGAAGGCCCCTGCACAGCTTGCCAAGACCCCCACAACCCACAAACAGGCCCCCAGTGCAGACGCCCTCCCCCTGGAGCCCCTCTGCCCCCTGCACGAGGCCTGTCCTTCAGGCAGGCCAGTCAGGGCCCGTCAGAGTTCTGCTGTCTCCCCCAGACGGATTACTTCCACCTTTTCATCTGCGTGGCCATCGTGGCCATCTACGGGGACAACGTCATCGAGCAGCAGCTGGCCACTGACCAGATGCTCCTGCACTTTGGAAACCTGGCCATGCACATGAATGGAGAGCTGGTGCTCAGGAAGGTGAGCCCTTCCCTCCCTGGCTCTTGAAGCTCCGCCCCTTGTAGCAAGAGCCCCGCCCCTGCCTGCACAGAGCCTGCCCTGCACTTGGAGTCCCACCCCACTGCCCATCTGCACCTGCAGCGCTGGGCCCTACCACCAAGGCCCAGGGGTGGGTACCTGCTGTAGCCACCCCAGCTAGGTCATGTGTCCCCGTGGCTGTCTCCATGCTCTCAGGGGCACCATCATGGGGTCCCCACCTTGGGGAGTCTTACTTCCAGCCCAGAGCTAGAGAAACGGGAGGCTGGGCCTGGGGAGGGGCTGCTCCCACCCAAGGTCAACTGGAATAAAGGGGACTTCATTGAACTTCTGCCCTCCTTCCCCCCCTCCAGTCTCCTGCTGAAGTGCTGCTGGGCAGAGCTCCAGGGCACCCTGGTGGCCCAGAAGGTGGGGCCGAGCTGAGTCAGAGAGGGGTCCTGCCAAACATGGCAGGCTGGGCCGGGCAGGGCTGGGCAGCCTTGGCCTTGCTCTCCCTCACTGGGCAGCTTGGGAGCTCTGAAATCGGGGGGCTTCCTCACAGCTTGCGGCTGTGAGCCCTGCCAGAGTCTCCAGCAGCCGTGGCAGACCCAGACCACTGTGTGGTGCTAGGTGGGAGCCGGTGGGCAGAGCCCACAGGCATTGGCCCTGGCCACGTCATTCTTCAACTTCCCATGGGGATCCCAGGCCACCAGGCTGTCCCCTGACCCCATCCTCTCTCTCTGCAGGCCAGGAGCTTGCTGTACCAGTTCCGCCTCTTGCCGCGGATCCCCTGCAGCCTGCATGAGCTATGCAAGCTCTGTGGGACGGGAATGTGGGACAGTGGGTACATGCCCGCTGTGGAGTGTGCCGGCCACCACCCAGGCTCCGAGGGCTGTCCCTACGGGGGCACGGTGGAGATGCCTTCACCCCCAGCTCCAAGAGAAGGCAAGAGGGGCCCGAAGACACCTCGGGAAGGCTTTGGCTTCCGCAGATAGGTGGGACTCCCTGCACTGGACAGGTTGAGGGGACCTTGCAGGAAGTCCGGGGGGGGGGGGGGGGGCGGGGGGACGGATGGCAGAAGTGTAAGGAAGTTGGCTGTGGGCGAAATGAAGAGCCCTTTTCCCCAATAACAGCCAGAGCCTGGAAATGACAGCAGCAAGGCCTGCCACCCTCCCAGAGGACAGGCGGCTCCGGAAGCTGGGACCGGGCAGCTGCCTCACGCCGGCTGCCTGGGGGAATTCTGCACAGCCCAGAAATTCCTCATTGCCTGGAAAAGGGGACAGCAGGGACAGGAGGAGGCTTCCACCCCAGTGCCAAGGGTGCAGGCGGCGGGGCCCATGCAGGCCCAGAGGCCTCTGCACACTGGACGCTTTCTCGTCGGGCTTCTCCAAGTGAGCTGGACACACTCCTCCCCCTTCCCAGCCACAGCTGCAGAGCTGGTCTGAGGGCATCTGCCAGGAAGCCCTCCGATTTCAGAACAAGTGTCCAACCTGGGTCTCTCGCGCCAGCTGCCTAAGTGCTGTGCATCCTGGCTATGGGGAGGAAGGGCCCGGCTGAGCCGGAGCCAGAGCCTGGTGGACCAGGGTCGGACACCTGCCCCTAAGCTGGGGTCTTCCCCTGAGGACTCCTGGCACTGTTCACAGTCAGTCTCACCAGATCCAGCAGCCATCTGGGGGCTGAACGGGTTGGCAGGTGTGTGTGTATGTGTGTGTGCACGTGCGTGTGCCTGCAAGGTCCTCTGAAGAGGATCCCTTCCTCAGGGCGGTGGGAGTGTACTAACAGAAAGCCAAGACAAGGCACCTGAAGTAGCAGAAGCCTCTTGACCCGCTGCAGGACCCGTGGTCCCTGCTGTGAGTGTGGACCAAGAGCAGCCGCAGTCAAGGAGCATTCGGGCTCTCCGCGGGGTGGGTGGGGACAAGTTCTTCCCCTGTGCTCCATCCTCCGAGGGCTGGGTCTCGGCTGCCCCTCCTGGGACAGAACGGGGCACATGGGCTGTGACCAGAAGCTCCCAGCCGTTGCAGGAGAGCCATGTCTTATGTGATGGGCGCCAGGAGTTGGGTGCCTCTGTGAAGCGCAGACCCAGAGCTGCCTCCCGCCCACAGCTCCTTGCTGAAGGGTGGGCACTGCTGGACAGTGCCAGTCTTAGAAAGACACCAGCTCCCTAACCCTTCTCAGCTTTTTTTCCCTCCATAAGCCCAAGTCCTCTTCAAGGCACTTACAAGTTCCCGGTCCCTCTGTTCCAAGAGCCTTTGGGGGAGAACATACTGGAGCCCCCAGTGTGCAGATCCTGAGCTGTTAACCACTGCAGTCCAGCCACGGGGGGCCTGGGGGGTGGACTTCTCATCTGTTTTGCTCCTGGGGAAAGTGGGTTGCCTGTCTGTGTTGGCTCCTGGTCCGCTAGGGAAACGGGTAGCGCTAACCAGGTCCGTCCTTCCTAACCCTCCTCTGGAAACCAGACCCCACAGATAGTCCTGTCAGCTCTCCGTTGCCACAGGAGTGCTGTGTAGCAGATAACCCCCCAAATCATCGGCCTAAACTGCTGCGCCCAGGTACCGCGCTGCCCGCGGGTCGGCAGTCAGGCTGGGCAGCCCTGCTCTTGGCTTGCTTACCTCCGGGGCCATCGGTTCCCAAGCTCCAGCAGGGCACTCGAGGTGCAAGGGCAGGTCCCTTGCCTCCCTCCTGCAGGTCAGCCCTGGTGAAGGCCCCTGCAGGACTGGGTGAGTACCTGTCCAGGCCAGGGAGGACCACACGTCTGCCCCGTCCTGCGGCCAGACCTGGCCTTCTGGGGTGGGTAAATGGACCCTGTCTGCTAGTGTTCCCTCTGCACAACCTGTCCAGGAGCCTGGGGATTCAGGGGGCCCAGGATGGCACTGTCATCACAGTCTACCTGCCACCACTAGAAAGTCTTGGTCCAAACGACACTGTTCCAGGTCACCCCCTCCCTGGGGTGGGAGAGGGAGCCCCTGCCCTCACCCAGGCCTGTGCTACTCCCTGCCTCGTGCCCTGGGGCCGCTGTCTTGAGGGCAGGTGGAGCAGGGCCAGGTCTCCACTCGCTGTGGAAGGTCCCAGGTGGAAGGCCTTCCCCCTGAGTCCCCAGATCCCCAAGACCTGACCCACCTGCACCAGCTGCATCCTCAGGGTGACCAAGTGCCACTCTGCTCCCCTGGGCCTCAATGTCATCTGCTTCTGCAGAGCAGCCAGGGTCCAGGAAGCAGGGTGTGCGGCCGGCCGCCCGGCTGGAGGGGAAGCCCCGCCCTGGCTCCGCTCCCTTCATCTGGATGCAATTAGAGGAAACCAGCCCCAACCCTGCGGCAGCTGTTACCCCAGGATTATTCCCAGCCAGCAAAAGGCATTAGGGTGATAATTCAGTCATTAGACTCCTAGCTTCCCACCGCCACGACGTGCAAATAGGGGGTAATCAGCCCGCCATGGCCATCCTCCGCGAGGCCGCTTATTTAACCCATTTTTTAAAATGACACTTAATGCTATTGGTGGGCGGGCGTGTGTGCGCATAAAGTCGGCGCCTCGTTGGCCCTGCCACTTACACGTCTGCTGACAGTGTTGCATGGCGTCGTCCTGGTCTCTGGGAGGAGAGGGACCTTTGGTGTGCTTGTGCTGGCACTGTCCACCTGACACCCAGGAAAGCTGACTTCCGACTCGTCCGCCCAGGGCAGAGGGACCTGGCAGGAGGTCGGGAGCTGGGTGCACCCAGGGAATGGCGGGTGGTGTAGATGAGTATTTCTCTGCCACCTGGGCCTGACGGGGTCCTCCCCGGGTGCTGGGAAAGAGCGAGCTTTTCCAGAAGGTTCCAACTCGGGTCCCAGCTTGGGAGACTCTCGGGTCATGTGCCCCTGCCCTCTTGCGGAAGAGGAGGGCCTGATGCAGAAGGACAGTCACATGGCACACGTGGGCTTGGAGGCCATCAGCTCGGGTCCCTCCACAGCCGGAGCGTGAGGCAGAGGGAGGTTTTTAACCGGGGGTGGGGGTGGGGGGGACGCATCCTGGAGCTGCCCCTGAGAGCCTGTGCCAAGCCCTGCTGGGGTGACGTCAGCCTGGGGCCGAGGCGGGCAGAGGGCACCCAGCTCAGGCCTTTGACAGTTGGCCCTGAGAACAGATGGGGGCAACAAGGAAATGAGGGACTGTGGGCCAGGGGCAGGGGATCTGTTCCTGTGAAGTCCCCCTGAGCTGCTGACCGCCTCTGGCAGAAATAGCTGGGGTGGCCCTCAGGGTTTTAGGTCTCGCTGGGGTTTCCTCCTGCAGAAGCCTCCCGATCCAGCCTCCCGGTCCCCCTGCAAGAGGCTGGGGGAGGTGGGGACACCCTGGGCTCACCAGGTAGAGGGAAGGAAGTATCTTCTTTGTGTCTGCTCAGCAGGGCCATGAGGAGGGCACCAGGAGGCTGGCCTGCGCCTGGGCCCCCCATCCCAGGGGCCCCGGGGACAGCCTGGATCTTGCTGGCTGCACAGGCCTTCCTGTGGGGCTGCTCCAGACCTAAAAGCTAATCCCCCAAGTCTCCCCAGGGCTGGGAGTAGCGCTGTGTGAACGCCCTTCCCCGGAGCAGGGGCCTGGCCTTGAACTGCCACCACCCCTCCCTGGCCAGGCGGCCTCTGCCCACCCAGCCTGTTTCTTCACCTGTTAGATGAGAACAAGGACACCTGCCCGGGCCACCTCACCTGTGGGGACTTTTCCTGTAGAAGCTGCCATGAGCATGGTACGCCATGGCCCAGAGGCCTCACCAGCCACTCAGGGAAGAGACCACTGACCTAAGCCTTCAGCAGCCTTGACCATGAGGGCTGATGCCCCGGACAAGAACTCTGCCCTGGTTTGGAGTCAGCAAACCTGTGGCCCCTCCTGCGCCTCCGCCTTGCTGTGTGTCCTCTGCGGAGGGCCAACCTTTCTGTGCCTCCTCTAAAGGTCACTCCTACAACTCTACTCCTGCCAGGAAGAAAATCGGCCGTTGGGCGTGGGCATTCCTGCCTGTGCGCCTGCACACAGAGCTCTTCAGGGAAGGCCGTGCCCTGGGCGCTCACCCGCTGGGCTGTGAAGTCCCCTGAGGACTCCGCCTCCCAGGTTGGAGCTTAGCCACCGGGAGAGGGGAGTCCTGGGGCCTCCCAGAACAGAGCAGGGGCAAACAGCCTGCTGCTGCCCGGTGTTTGAGATGCATCAGGATGAATGTCCAGGTAGGAAGTGGAATCCAAGTTCAAAGGGAAAGCCGCACGACCAGCTTTTCTCAGTGCTCTGGGGTGGGGAGGACAGTCTTGTTGTTTAAGGGCGTTTCATGAAATTCCCACCACTACTGACAGATGGGGTTGTCTCGGCGAGTGATTTGTTCTGTTTTGCTTTTTAAATACAATCCCCTTCCACTCAGGCCAGGTCTGGTGACCATGACCCCTGCTAGGCACAGCCCCTTCCGCGCTCCTGAATTTCGTGGATTCCAATGCAAAGGAAATAAAATCATGTTGACAGCGTCCATGGCACAAGGCCCCGGGTCTCTCAGGGCCTGTAGCGAGAGAGACTTGGGTGTGGGGCAGAGGAGACAGGAAGACCTGTGGACACTTCCACCTGTCCTGCCTCTTGGCTCTTCAAGGTGGGGACGGGGAGGGGTACTGGGGTCACCAGAGCTGGGGGCTGGCCAGCAGACCCTGCTCTGGGCAGGCTCACCCTGGGCCCTGAGTGGACAGCATTTGGCTTGCAGGGGACAGTGAGGAAGAAGGGCAGCCAGGCCTGGCAGCACAGAGGTGGGTCTGTCTCAGGGAGCGTCTCCCTGCCAGGGGCTCCACTGCAGGAAGCGCCCGAGTCCTGCAGTTAGGAGATTTTTAAAGAGGCAAACGAGATGGGTGGGAATTAGAGGGAGAATCAGCATAGCCCCTCGTCCTGCTGACCGCCCCCCCCCCCAGCCTGGGGAGCTGGGCACAGGGACCTGTGCACCGGGACGATGGGAGGCCGCGGAGCCCCCCAGCTAGGGTTCCAGCCCTCGGCTCCCTCTGGGTGGCAGGGCTTCCCAG